CAGCTGTCAGAGGTAACTTTCACAGGCTCTGAGCCCTGTTCCCTTTTCTGCACATCATGGGTGTAAGATTGCTGTTAGGACTCAATGAGACAATACTGAGGACTGAACTCTGACATCAGCTTTTCTTTTGCTCCAGTTTCTTTTTATGGGTCTGAGGCATAATGCCTTATGAACCATAAAATCTCATTAAATGGTGCTTGGGGTGTTTTGTTTGTTTGTTAACCTGGTATTATGTGGTTTACTTTACTGACTCTGGTGTAGCAGCATGACAGATAGCAGACCTCCTTATCTTAAGTATTCCTTCGCACTGATTCCTAGTCTTTATAAAAAACTTAACTCTTTCAACCAATTGTCAGCTACAGAATCCCTAAAACCCCTCCATGACTTTTAAGCCTCCTCTTCGAGACGTTCCTCCTTTTCAGGCCAAAGCAAAGTATGCCTTCCTCATATTACCTTACGATTTTACTTGCGATTTCTGTCTTTCTAAAATATATAAACCCAAACTATATTCTAGCTACCTCGGGGGGACAAACTTTCTCAGGCTCATTGAGACTGTGTTCCCAAGACTGCAGTCACACATAGGACTTAGAATACACTTCTTTAAATATTTTGGCAGAATTTGGCTTTTCCATCATCAACATATATTCGTTATTTAGCATTATAAGATGTATGTCCCCAGTACATGTTATTTGCTATCTTTTATTATTACTATTCCATTGATCATTTTTATCATTATTATTGGCATTGGTATTTCCTCATAGTTCTTGCCAGAAGTAAAAAATATAGACCAACAAAGAACAAACGATTTCCCCAATTTTCCTCAATATACTTGCATTTTATTATGCATCCCAATATTCTCAGCCCAGTATCAGATTATGAATGACCAAGGCTACCTGTGCGCCCTGGCCTCCAGCAGTATAGATGTCCCATAGAGTTCTCTTCACGTATCTTCAGGACAGCACTGAAGGACAGCCAGTGTTCTTAAACCTTTCAGTTCTTTTTTAAGGGATCATTGATTGATATCTATTCTCCATTCACTATTTTCTCCTAAAACATACAGTTATGGAAAATTGCCACCAAATCGATATTTGCTTCTCATAACAAAATTATGAGCAAAGGATATCAACATGGAATTTATCAAAGAGGAAATTTAACTAGAAAATGTGGACAGAGATTATACTTCACTTTCAAATAAAGGAATACAAATTTTTTTTTTAAAAAAATGTCATTTCCTACTGTTAAATTTGCAAAAGAAATGCTGTCAAAAGTATCATAAAAAAAATGGTGACCTGCACTGCCTTCTCCTGCTAAAATTATATATATGCCTTGGGGAAAGTCATTTGTTTATCCCAGTCTAGCCTTGCAAAGGAGACTTGCTCAGGTAGTTAGTCCCTTGAGCCCATGCTGGCAACGTGTGGAATGCGATCCCTGATATGTGTGTCTGCTCAGCATACCTTGCTCTCTTTTTTCAAGGTCCTTAAATGCCTAATTCTAATATCTGTTCTCTGTCTGGCCCCTCAATTTCTCCTTAAATTCCTCTTTAAACTAATAATCACTTGGGATGTGTAATCTTAGCTGATCACAACACATCTCAGAGGTAATATGTCTTCTGTAGGCTCTTTTGGGGTATGAGAATACACCACCCTGAAATACACGTCTTTGACATACAGATTATTTTGAATTAAAAGCCATCAGCAGATGCAGGAAAACCTCCATAAATAGGGTACACAGTTTTAAAGAAGATTTCCATTTGTAGAAATGAAGAGGAAGCATAACAACTCTTATCAACAGAGGAGACATGTGAACTTGCATAATGAACCTTACTAAACAACCCATGTTTACCATAATGTTTTCAGTCACTGTCCCATAAATTCTCTCCCCCACCCAGAATCCCAAATGCCTTTATTTTAGCCTAAGAAAGTATACAAACACAGATTCTAAACACCGTTAGTGCTGTCTTGACATACTCATTTCCTGATGATCCCATGTGTTAAATTCATGCCTTATGCACGCGTCAACAAACTTCTGTTCGTTTTTCCCTTGTTGAACTGTCATTTCTTATAGAGCCCCTGCTAAGAGCCAAGAAGGGCAGATGGAAAAATATTTTTTCCTCCCCTACACTTTGGTTACACAAAAATGGGATGAATACAAAAAGACATTCCCCCACACCTTCTATCAGGTCCCAAAGGAATAATCCAGTTGATCTCACTCCTTGCTGCTCTGTGCCAACGTGTCAAACATTGGGGAAGGCTGGGCTGGAGGGGAGGGAAGAGGAAGAGAAAGATGGGAGTAGCATCTTTCCAATGTTTGTCCAATGTTTGTCAAGTGTTGAAACTCCTAACTAGTAATTTATTTCTTATAATTCCAGTACTAGTAATTCCAATCAAATGGGGGAGAGGTGCAAGAGAGTGAAGAGTTTATTTTTACATTGCCAGCAACAGTAAGAAAAGAACTCCAGTGTCTACCATGAGGAGGGGATGAGAAAATTGGGAAGCGGTCACTGTGTGTACCACCCTGAAGTCGTCCAAAATGAGCTTGCGGGGATTAAAAAGCAGACAGAAAACGCTACTGATGCCACGTTAGATGAAAAAGAAGGGTACAAAACTGTGTGCACCCTGGTCACAATGCAACCCTGTAAAATGCAACAGGACTGGCTAAACCCCTCTTCTTTTTTTTTTTTTTTTTTTT